TTTGAATTGCAAGTCGCTAAATGACAACAATATCGAGGTCGCCTAACTTTCAGTCTTATCATGTCCGGTATCTGCGTTGTTCACTTTATTTACGGTCGTTACCAAGAAGCTTCCCTTTCAGCCTACACGCACTCGGATCGCCTTAAGTTAGTCTGTGCTCCCGACCAAATTCCATGAGACAACACCCTATGGGTCACGATTACAACTATCTTAGATAGTTCTTACAAGGTTGCCCAAACCTACGCATATTTCTTGTTAACTTTCCTTCAGTCAATCAGTTGTGCCTCACTGTTCTACAGATGATCTTCAGAACATTTCGTCCATTGTCGTTATGACGATGATAGAACCGAATTTACACCACCGCAATAGTCGCGCACCTAGAGCAAATGATTCGTCCCCTGGTTGTCATTAAATACCTCCCCCGATTTAAAGTTTGAGACGGGTTCATAGCAAACTTGTCAGATACCGAATCCTTGCATTAAAGGAAGCGACTGCGATTCATCTCAATAATCTTAAGTCGTGTGCGCAAAAATAACTTACTAAAGCTTTGCTATTACCATCGTCAGCTGCAGCTTTTGCGTGAACGAATCTCGCTCACTTTGAGCATTTCAGCACATTCATTCTGTAAAGACTCAATGCATAGTTCCTACACTTAACTACAGTAGAACCTCAAAAGTCGACAACTTTTGTATGTTGACCACCATTAGAAGGTGCCGTTTTTCATGGACTGAAAGCTCACAATGTATGTTCACCAATTCAGTGACTTGTACTTTGACCATTTGGACCATACCAGTCACCGTTAATTTACCACTATAAATATACAATGTTTAACTGTGCACTGGTCGCCTATCGTTTGTCCAAGCGACAAAATTTTTCGCCTTCACAACCGCTGTACTTGATGGCTCCGCCGACGTTGAACGATATGGTAGGTTCTATTTCTGAATGTGTCCGCAAGCAATTCAATATCCATTGCCTTACTATCTTCTACCCCCTTAGATTACATCTAACTTACGTGTTCAACGTTCAACGACTTCTCTGATCATGCCCATCAATCAGGCGGTGGATTTGGATACTCAAACAGAGTTGGTGTCCTCAGGCCTAGCTTTTAGCTGCGAAAAGAACTGTCACCGGTAACTTTTTCTGATTTGAATAAAAATAGACATTAGCATGAGATTGAGAGCCACACTTCTCTCTGTAGCAATAAATATTATGAGTACACTCGGATAGATCATGTTAGTAGTTATGCAAGTTTTTCTGCTATTCCAATATAGGACTTGTTGCAAAATGCGGGATTTACCCGCGTTAGATAGACAGGTATAAAAAGGAGTGACAAAATAACGGTCAACATAGAGTAAATGAACCTGTAGTCGTTGCAGTTGCAACCATGGTATGGACTGGACGCGAATACGGACTACTGTTATTTTATGTAAAGCGACTATCCAAAAACCTAGTATCATTAAACTTCGACAAAATATTCAAGGTGCCTTTACACCACATACAAGGCTCTTAATGACCGCAGCCCTATTTTCACCCAATAAAAGCATATGGTAAATAAATTCACATCGTTAAACGGTTTATCAATGACTGCAAAGGGAACATTTTTGCCCAATTATTTCCATGAAATTACAAGTGCTCCCTATAAGTTCTCTCGGTGTGCTCGGAATGCCGCATTAGGCCTAGCTGTAACGAGTTCTCTTGAGTAATCAATGGGTGAATGCTGCACATTAAACAAGAAGGTAGGTTTCATATGAGAGCTAATTTTTACGCTAGTTGAAAACATCATCTAATCGGCTGTGTCGAAAACGCACCAGATGATAGATGCCATTAGTGAGGCGCATATACGTGACTTAGGTTGCATGTTAATATAGCAACTGGACCCGAATTTAGTATATTTATCAAATTCACCTACACACTGCGGTTAGATGAAGATAGCTAGCGCTTAATCGATGATATACATATGGGAAGATAAATCCTTAGATAACTTATTCCATCTATGTTTCTGCGGCAGATCGTAGTAGATATAGCACAAAATATGTGGCAAGGTAGAGGAAAATTTGACTTAAAGTCTAGCAGGTCATTTGAAACCGGTGATCCAGAGTTGAAACAAGCGGGTTAATTCAACAACCACAGGGTTTCTTTTAGCTTGTCGGCCCAAGCACCAATGGAAATGATGAAGAATCAGCCAGTGGCGAAAAAGAAGGAACAATGATGCAGTATTTCTGCTATTAACACATAGGTCAGGTAGTCGAAAACTACGCGTCAAGGATATTATGGGAGTTCCACGCTTAATGTGGTCTTTTCAAGGTCTGATAGGATAGTGAGCCGGTAAAACTTATCTAGATTAGTTATACAAAACGACTAGCCGTACGACAATGGATTGCATGCCATACACGATGTGCATAGAGTAGTCGAGACATCTTTGTCATCTGCCTGCAATCGTATACCCAAACTAAGGGGACAAGTGATGTATTAGTGAAAAAACACAAGGTCCTCTCAACGTGGATAAACCAAAATGTTGGCGAACTAGTTATATTCGATTCGATTCAAACTCAAAACCTACGCTGCTCTTTACGATCTCGGAATACCCCGGAAAAGTCCCGCGATGGACCATTTAAATGGTTTCAAATTATGCACCACTAAAATAAACCACTTACACAAGCGGTGCGTTTTACACACGCAAAATATCCTGATTGTTTTTTAACTTGTTTCACACAAACCGTTGCATGTTCGTTTGCGGCAAGGCATTTGATGTGCATTTTGACGCTTGGTCACAAGCTTGAAACAACACGCCTACCTTACATTCCTGCATGGCCGATTGCATAAAGTGATACGCTTGTTGGGCGGAACCTGGGATACAAGTCGGTAAGCAATGACACGTAAGACGTGTCAAATACGACAGTATAGGAGTCGGAGGAGACTGAACCCAACGTATATTGTGCAGGTACAAGAATAGGAAGCGAATCAGACAAGCGAGAACGGCACGGTTTGTGACCATGGATGTGCAGTCAGTTAAACAAATGGACGTTTCGAAGGTTAAAACAACCATAAAATCCAATGTTATAAGATACTGAAAGAGCATGTTTTCAGTTGCACTACACGCTTCAATTGGCTCGGTTAAATCGCAAAAGACTCCAATAAAAGTAGGTCAGATTATGGTAGCATATGTAATCGCAGTATAGGTCATAATGTTCCCTGGAAGTGAAGAAAGTTATCAAAACATCGACATGTAATTGTAGGTTTTATATCTGCCGAGGAGGGACACTTTGCTGAACGAACTCTCGCTGTAGTGCCGCTTTCAATCCAAGATCCACACAAGGTCTACTTTAGATGTAACGTTTGGGGCAATAACGGAGGATTGTAAGTATTTCGGCAACTCCAGATGAACACGTAGAACGCTGCTTAGAAATATACTGATCTGGGCTAGGGAGACTTTTGCTTCTAGACATGCAGCGTAGGAAAGTTAATCGAAAGTCATATTTTCTTATGAATGCAAAATGCTAACTGCAGAGAGGAGGATAGTTAACACAGCATGACAAATGCCATTACTATATGATTACCGGATTTTACAGTATTTCTGAAGTTCCTCAGTGCTTCCGTTGGATGCAACAAAAGTAGAAGGAGCTTCATCACTTACAGTAAGTCTGATACTCTGGTGGTTGTTGCCAGCACAGGCAATTTGGCTGAACCTGCATTCGGGTTTCATGCAAAATATTCCCACTTCAGCATCATCAAGGGATGACGTTAACAGTTAATAGACATTGAGTGATTTACTTTTAAATGCACGAATCGAAAGATATGTAGGGAGCTCGTCACCAGTCCTTCTTATCATACTTTATACATTCGACTGAGCTTTGCAAGCCACAGACATAAAGCTCACGTACGTGATCTTGCAAGCTTAGAAGAAACGGAATAATCAAATAAGTAGACGGTTCTTCTCAAGGCACCATAGTTCTGAAACAAGCAAAGAATAATCTGACAAACAAAATCTTTTATATGAGGCAGACGATTGGCAAAAACAAGAAATTTTTATGTTATAGAGCAGAATTTAGCATAAACTCCCACTAAAAGGGATAATTATCCACTGCGCGTTTTAATCCCAAGTCCGTCTCCTAGGCTACCCATGGTGCGGAAAGGGAAGTACTGAGCGATAAGCACTCTGACTCCTTTATATTTTCTTGATAGTCATTAAACGTTTAAATGAAATTGGCATTGTAAGTTAAAAAAGAAAAGTATACACAAAATGTTGAATAAATAATGCGGGGTCACCAATTATATGGAGGAACCGGTTAAGGAGAATACCATGTCAGTCAGGTTTACCTCACATATAAAGTATCCTGATGCACCTTAGCGTCGGACGGCCGTAAATCCCGAGGTATGCCGAAATGTACGTGTACTTAGACTCCGATCGTGAACCAAGCAGGCAGCAATGCGCACAATCAAAACAATCCAGTGGCAACCAAGGAAGAACCACGGAAGACGAGCTCGTAACCAAGTGTGTGTATATACAGTTAATTAAAACAAAGCTGTACAACAACTGCAGCGAAATAGGTAAAAGTGAAAATGAAAAATAAGCATATTATTTACAATCGCTACAATGTTTAGTTAAGTAACGTGTGTATTTTGCAGGCTGAAATCTGTCAACGGATCTGAAAGATCCCCTGGGATACTCAGGTAGACCTGGCTCATGCGGCCTTGTTGTAAGCTTTAGAAAAGCTTAGAAGCATAAAAAATGCTAAACACTATTTTATTGGTTGTTTATGGGGATTGAGGTGCGTTGACGAATGCTACACAAGAAATTCGTAGCCCGGTAACACAGAAGACGGCGGGATATAAAGATTGTCTTGAGAAAATAGCTATGTACAATAGCTATGTGAATACAGCTTGAGGGCAATGGGAGAAAATGGTGAAGGAATGAGTAACACCACGTAGGAGCGCAACAGCCGGCAACGCGCGGGCAAGATGGCGGACCATGTTCATAATCGCAGTCCAGTATATATAGGCTTTAGGCGGGTGCAAAGTAAAACAAAATGTGTACAAGTCTGAATGTGATGTTTGATGGAGTAAAGTGTCATGGTCACTACACAGGCCTCCCCCTAGAAGGCCGAGGGACGAGGACTTCGATCGCTGTTGGCTTGCAAATGTATAAAGGCAGAATCACAGGAGTTCGGTTGTATTTGGATTATTTAATCTTCTTGTGGATTGGAATGCATCATCGGTGGGCCGTCCCAGCGGGCACACCGGACTACAAAAAACTGGATAATCCAGAAAAAGGGCCGGTAGGACCTTTCACCGCTGCTGAAAGACGGTGCGCTTGGGAGAGGTCACTCCCCCCACCGCATTCCAATCCACTGCCACAACGAAGCTGAAATCCTGTTCGTACTGGCGAGCCGTGGGGGGGCCAAAAACAACGAGCCAGGCACACGAGCAGCCAAAGCCAGGAAGGCGAGCCAGACAAACGACCAAGGCGAGCCAAATTGAGCCAAGCAGACCACGATCCAAAGGCCAACGTGGGCGGGCGAGACGACAAAGCGTTGGGGGTAGACCAAAGCATCCAAACGACCAAAACAATTGAGAAACAGCCAACCATTGAACGGACGGACCCAAACGTGCCAGCCTCATGACTATACCTGATAGATGGGGAAAAAACTCGGGGAGACAGATTCAGATATTTACGGAAAAGCATAATACAAACAACGAGAGAAAATGAAAAAGATTCATGAGGTATGGATGAGTTCGACAAAATCGGAGAAACGAACAGGTTTACGAACTCTTCTACCGTGACTGGTATTAGTTTGAGGCGAATCTGGTGACTGGGATTGTGGTGGAGCTGAAAAGCTGGGCGTCGTTACAGGTGGCTCTGTAGATTGCGTTAAGGTCGATGACGAGTCGAGGGCATAAACTAAAGGTTTGTGATCAGTAAAGACGGTAAAGCTTCTGCCCTCTAGAAAAGGACGAAAATGACGGATGATACCAAGTTCGAGCATGTGCTCGAATTCCGCCTTAGCGGCTTTTAGCTTATCAGGGGCGAGACGTCGTGGCCGTGCAGAAACCGGTGGGCCACGGGTTCGTATATGGTGCGTAACGCTAGATGCGACCGGAAGAGTAGCGTCAGCTGAGCGGACCAGCTGCGGAAACTGTCTGAACAGATCTAAAAATTCCTTATCAGCTTCAGGCTGAATGTAAATGGGAGTGACAGAAACACAAGGTGTGCGAACTCCACATGTGAAAAGCTGGGTCTTTTGGTCAACGAGTTTGCGATGACGCGCATCGACGAGAAGATCGAAGTGTTGGAGGAAGTCGATACCCAATATAGCAAACGGAACAGCAGCGATTGTGAAAATCCATCGAAAGGGACGTCGTAGTCCGAGGTCAATGGTAAGGGAGCGTTGACCGAAGACTCGAATAGCAGTGCCGTTAGCGGCACGCAAGTTGGTTGTCTGTGGCTTAGTCGCGTCGCCTGGAACCGGTGGGATCACGCTAACTTCCGCCCCGGTATCAACCAGGAACATGATCCCGGTGTTCCTATCAACGATTTTGAAGAGGCGATTTGGACGACTTCGGCCGACGGCGTTCGTCGCCAATACGTGTCGGCCTGTCCTTTTTCTCGTTACGGGAAATGAGCATGGTTTTATACAATTTCTAGCGGAACTTCCAAAACGTGCGTGATAACGGCAAATTGGGCGGCGTGTTCGTCTTCCAGATGGGCTAGTGGAACGGGATGGAGAATCATGTTGGTGCCGATGTAACTTTAAGCTTTGAACTTCTTGCCGTAGCGCGGCTATCTCTGCTAAGAGCTCACCAGTCGAAGGTGGAGTAGCGGTGTCGATGGTTTGGACCGAAGGGTCAACAGTAAAACCTACGTCAGGTGAGCGAAGAGAACTAGACGACGGACACGGTGGTCCGGTGAAGCGATCCATCATGTCATCAGCAATATCTGCAACTTCTGACAAAGGCTGCGATTTCGCAAGCGATAGCATAGCTTGTACGTTTTCAGGCAAACGCTGAAGCCATAACTCTCGAAGCAGCGACTCGTCCATATGCAATCCTTGAAGAAGACCACGCATCTCTAGCAATAGCGCGGATGGCTTACTAGAACCTAGCTGTAGACCAGTAAAAAGTTTGTGCAGGCGGGACTTCACTGAGGGAGTAACACGCTTTATAACGGCGTTCTTGAGAGAATTATAGCGGTCAGGAGGACAAGATGTAATAATAAGATCACGTAGTGCTAAAGTAATATCAGTCGGCAGGCGTGTTAGCAAGTGATTAACCTTTGCAGAGTCATTGGTAACATGCTTAGAAGTAAATTCAGCTTCTAAAATCATGAACCACAAAACGGGATCCTTTACAATAAAGGGTGGAACTACGAGAGATACCGCTTGCACAGACTATGAGTCCTCACACTTTTTAGAAACTGAGGCCATGGCTTGCGTGGAAAAACCAAAGAAATGGAACGAACTCACCGGAATGCGATTGGGGTCACCAATTATGTAGCGGCTTGACGAATGCTACACAAGAAAACCGTAGCCCAGTAAGACAGAAGACGGCAAGATATTAAGAATGTCTTGAGAAAATAGCTATGTACAATAGCTATGTGAATACAGCTTGAGGGCAATGGGAGAAAATGGTGAAGGAATGAGTAACACCACGTAGGAGCGCAACAGCCGGCAACGCGCGGGCAAAATGGCGGACCTGGTTCAAAATCGCAGTCCAGTATATATAGGCTTTAGACGGGTGCAAAGTAAAACAAAATGTGTACAAGTCTGAACGTGATTTTTGATGGAGTAAAATGTCATGGTCACTACAGAATCAGTATCCCCTGAAAATGGTATGCGGAAAACTGTCAATCTAACGGCATTTCAGGGACTTAATGGACTGGATCCGGAACAGACCTCCAAACGTACCTTCCATGTACGACGTCGTACGGAGCGTTGTCTCCCTGCATCCATGCATCAAGCGGATTCCACAGGGGTCTGTACGCGGCCCGCACCTCTCTCCTAGCCTGCATTGACGACGTCCACCGAGCATGTGGAGTCCTTCGCTGACTACTATACGCGGATAGAACGCCAAGCTGTGCCACAAGTTAACCTTCCGGACGATGCCACTGCACGTTCAGACGACCTCGACCGTCTACTTATCAGTGGGGTCCATAGTGAAATAACCTTCCATTGAACCTTCGAAATGTCGAGTCCTTTCACCCGCCCTTTCCGTTTTTTTTCTCCCTATTTTACCTGGACGTCTATCCTCCAATCACTTCAGCAAAAGAACTGGGCTATCCATATCCCAGTCGAGTCTTTCCCGTATCCGGCTTCCTCTCCAGAAAGCAGCTGCTGCTGCTAACCGCATAGTGGGATTTGCTGAAACGATCCCTTGTCGGTCAAAATTGACCCAGCAATTTCCGCCTCCTCCTTAAACGCTTTTCTGCGACCCCACTTGGATTCGCTCTCAACAGCTTGGAGCCCGTGTTGTATGAGGACCAACGCATACTCGAAGCCGCCACAACTTCCGATAATCCAAACTCTCCCAGGTCCTCAATCACCTAGATTATCCACAACACTTCAGTGCCGGACCGCCAATCGCGTTAGTACCTGACGTCTACGGGCGAC